TTGCTTTGCTTCCCTACAACCCTGTACATTCCCGTTTGCTTTTCCTGGTTCACAGCAGGTTTCTTTTTTCCCTGAATATTGAGGTTAAAAAGCCCGTGACTCGGGGCGCCTTGGTGGCTCAGTGGGTTGGGCCTCTGCCTTCAGCTCAGGTCATGATCTCAGGGTCCTGGGATGGAGACCCAAATCAGGCTCTCTGCTCAGCGGGAGGCTGCTTCCCCACCGCCCCTGCTTACTTGTGATTTCTCTCTCTCTGTCAAATAAATAATTAAATAATCTAAAAAAAAAAAAAAAAAAAGGCCTGTGACTCTTTGTCATCAATTTTCCCACTTCATCTAATAATAGTTAGGACTTTCTTTATATATCTTTTCAATTCAAAAAGTACCCTACTGCCAATTATGTGGAGAGGTGGCTTTAATTCCTTCCTGCTTTATTTTTTTTATGATTTTTAATTTAATTTAATTTTAAATTTTTTTATTATGTTAGTCACCATACAGTACATCATTAGTTTTTTTTTTTTTTAAGATTTTATTTATTTATTTGACAGAGAGAGAGATCACAAGTAGGCAGAGAGGCAGGCAGAGAGAGAGGGGGGGAAGCAGGCTCCCGGCTGAGCAGAGAGCCCGATGCGGGGCTCGATCCCAGGACCCTGAGATCATGACCCGAGCCGAAGGCAGAGGCTTAACCCACTGAGCCACCCAGGCGCCCCTTTCATCATTAGTTTTTGATGTACTGTTCCATGATTCATTGCTTGCATATAACACCCAGTGCTCCATGCAATCTGTGCTCCTTTATACTCATCACCAGGCTCACCCATCCCCCACCACCCTCCCCTCCAAAACCTTCAGTTTGTTTCCCAGAGTCCATAGCTTCTCGTGATTCATCTCCTACCCCAATTTCTCCCCCTTCATTTTTCCCTTCCTTCTAAAGTCCTCCATGGTATCCCTTATGTTCCACAAATAAGTGAAACCATACGATAATTGACTTTCTCTGTTTGACTTATCCCACTTAGCATAATCTCCTCCAGTCTCATGCATTCTTTGTGATGGCTGAGTAATATTCCATTGTGTGTACGGACCACATCTTCCTTATCCATTCATCTGTTGAAGGGCATCTTGGCTCCTTCTACTTTGGCTTTTTCTCTCTTTGGCCTTTGAAAGTTTTAACTATTTTTATATTGCTGTTGGTAAAGTGGATAGCTTCTATTTGTGGATTCCCCCTTAGAACTGTCCACTTAAGAGTAACTTGAAGGGGGCGCCTGGGTGGCTCAGTGGGTTAAGCCGCTGCCTTCAGCTCAGGTCATGATCTCAGGGTCCTGGGATCGAGTCCCACATCGGGTTCTCTGCTCAGCGGGGAGCCTGCTTCCCTCTCTCTCTCTGCCTGCTTCTCTGTCTACTTGTGATCTCTGTCAAATAAATAAATAAAATCTTAAAAAGAAAAAAAAAAAAAGAGTAACTTGAAGGTATAATTAAAGTTAGTAAAATTTTAAAGCATTATTCTACCTGATAAAGACCAGAAACAGAGGGGAAAAGGTGTTTACCATCAACAGGTCAAAAGAGAAAATTCTTTACAGGCAGAGCAATTATTTTTTTTTACACAATTTATTTACTTATTTGAGAGAGAGAGAACACACAAGCAGGAAGGTCAGGGAAAGGGAGAGAAAATCTCAGACAGACCCCACATTGAGTATGGAGCCATACTCAGGCTCATGACCCTGAAATCATAACCTCAGCGGAAACCAAGACACATAACCAACTATGCCACCCAAGTGCCCCCAGAGCAACTTTTTCTTATTTAATTTGATTAAAACAATTTAAAGCATTGCTAATTATGAGGAACAGGCTTAAAATAATGATGAAGAAATAGAAAGCTAGTTCTTCTTTATGGAATGAATACAAGGTGCCACACCATCAATAGAACATTAGAAAGATCTTCAGGGAAAAAAATAATATGTATGGTATTTATCATCACAAGGAGTATTTTATGTCTTAGATAGGACTATTATTCATTCAGTATTGACCATCTACACAAAGCTAAGCATTGGGAATATGTAATAAAAATATACGTGTGTCCTGCCCTCAAAAAGCCTTACAGAAATCCAAATTCTCTTTTACAACATGAAATAAGTAAAAGAGTTTCAAATTCAGATAAGATTCTGTGAATACCTGTTGATCACATAACTAATACTAGCAATTAAAATTTAAATTCTGGGGCACCTGGGTGGCTCAGTGGGTTAAAGCCTCTGCTTTCGGTTCAGGTCATGATCCCAGGGTCCTTGGATCGAGCCCCGCATCCGGCTCTCTGCTCAGCAGGGAGCCTGCTTCCTCCTCTCTCTCTCTCTGCCTGCCTCTCTGCCTACTTGTGATCTGTCAAATAAATAAATAAAATCTTTTTAAAAAAATAAACAAAATAAAATTTAAATTCACTTGGCAACATCGTTGAAAGAAATTCAAACTACTCCTGCTATACAATAATGTTTTGTGTTCTATCTTCTTATCACAATTCAAGATTTTAGAGCAGGATGAGAGATGAGCTGATCGAATTTAACAATCACCTCTATAGTTTCCAGGCAAAAATGATCAATCACTCTGAGAGTGAAAAACTCTTCCGTTTAAGGTATCAACACATTCAAACATGTCTATCCCGGCGAGGGAAGGAATCCAGTGGCCCCTCATAAACCCAGCTTCCCAAGACTTGGAATCTCCCATTCAATACAAAGGGTACCAAGGGACACCAAACCAAAGGGTCTGCACTTTACACTGAGACAATGTAAATAAGCTCACTCTACTCAATTCTATTATATGTACCAGTTAAGACATGTAAGGTTTCAACAGTGTGGCCAGATCACCTGGAAATTCTTTCTAGGAAAAGCTACATTTTGCTGTGCCTGTAAAATTATGATTTCATAAACTACAGATCTATTCTGTTCTTTAGTTCTACCAGGAAAAAGAAAATCTATCATGTACTGAATGGTTATTACCTGCTAGGCTCAGTGCTACGCACTTTAAAAAGACTGTCTAGGGGCGCCTGGGTGGCTCAGGGTAGGTTAAAGCCTCTGCCTTCGGCTCAGGTCATGATACCAGGGTCCTGGGATGGAGCCCCACATCTGCTGAGCAGAGAGCCTGCTTCCTCCTCTCTCTCTGCCTGCCTCTCTGCCTACCCTCTGCCTACTTGTGATCTCTGTCAAATAAATAAATAAAATCTTAAAAAAAAAAAAAAAAAAAAAAGAAGACGACTAATTTAATCCTGACATTCTCCAGAGTAGACATCTTATGTCCACTTATAGGTAAAGAAATTGAAGCACAGAGAGGTTTAAAAATTGGTCTGAGTATTTTATTCTTTTTGGTGCTATTGTAAATGGAATTGTTTTCCTAATTTCCTTTTCAGACAGCTCATTGTTAGTATACAGAAATGCAACGGATTTTTGCATGTTGATTTTGTATCTTGCAACTTTACAAAATGTGTTTATTAGTTCTAACAGTCTGTTAGTCTTTAGGGTTTACTAGATATAAGATCATGTTGTCTGCAAACAGGAACAATTTTAGTTCTTCCTTTCCAATTTTGAAGCCTTTTTAATCCCTTTTCTTGCCTAGGTGCTCTGGCTAGGACTATCTGCCTCATTCCTTATCACAGTGGGTTATTACCTCACACCTGTCAGGATGGCTATTATCAAAACAAGAACAAAAACAAAAGACAAGTGTTGGTGAGGATGTAGAGAAAATGGAACCTCTATACTGTTGATAGGAATGCAAAATGATGCAACTGCTAGGATAAATAGTAAGGAGGTTCCTCAAAAATATCAAAATAGAATTACTGTATGATCTAGCAATCCTGCTTCTGTGCATTTAACCAGAAGTACTGCAATCAGGATCTCGAAGAATTACTAGCACTCTCATGTTCACTGAGGCACAATTAATAATCACCAAGATTATTAATGTCCATGGGCAGAAAAATGCAATAGCAAAATGTGATATATACATAGAATGGAATATTACTCAGCTTTTAAAAGAAAATTCTGCAATAGGTGACAACATGGGTGAACCTTACAGACATTATGCTAAGTGACATAAGCCAGTTACAGGAAGACAAATGATTTCACTTACATATATGAGGTATCCACTGACATGAGATTATCTAAAATAGCCAAATTCATAGAATGAAAGAGTGGAATGCTGGTTGCCAGGGGCCAAAATAGAGGGAATGGGGAGTTACTAATTAATAGGCATAAAGTTCTAGTTAAGCAAGATGAATAAGCTCTTGAGATACGATGTACATTGTACCTACAGTCAACAGTACTATCTTGCACACTTAAAAAATGTGCTAAGAGGGTAGACCTCATGCTAAGTATTCTATTTTTTTTTTTTTTAATTTGACAGGGATCACAAGTAGACAGAGAAGCAGGCAGAGAAATGCGGAAGCAGGCTCCCTGCTGAGCAGAGAGCCCGATGCGGGGCTCAATCCCAGGACACTGAGATCATGACCTGAGCCGAAGGCAGAGGCTTAACCCACTGAGCCACCCAGGCGCCCCTCATGTTAAATATTCTAAAGCACGGTAAAAAAATATTTTTTTTTAATTGGTCCAAGAACTCAAACCCACTTCTAACGGACACTCCCTTGCTCCTACTTTAACACAATAAACTGCCTCGAAGCAGATTAGAATGTACTAAGAGGACTCTCTCCCAGCACTGTGCGACGTCAGGGAATTCGCTTAACAGCTCTGAACTTGAGTTTCCTCACCACCAAAATAAGTCTCAGCGCAAAGACAACTGGTCGGTCTGCAGTCTTGGCCACCGGCCGACCTCGCACGAGCATCCGCGGGACCAAGAAGAGGTCAAGCTGGATCTCAGCTCCTGAGCCAGACCGCAGGCATGAAGGGGCGAAACGCTGTAGGAGAAAAGAACAAAGCCTCGCCCCGCTGGGTCACTATGACCCAAAGGAAAAGCGTCAGTACGACCAGCCCACGGCCTCGTTTCCTAGGTAGCTGGACCAAGAACTCGGCTCACCTCGGGCGGGAATCACTGGCTGGCACCTCCCCTTCACCCTGCGCCTCAGTCGCCATCTTAGTCAGCAAACTTCTCTCACCGCCCCTATCTCCGGCCCCGCCCCCACGCATTTGGATTGGCTAAGGTGTTCCCCCTCATCTGTGCGTTTGGATGACTAAACAGTTTCATGATATTATTGGTCTATTCAAATAGCTAACGGTCATTGGTCACCCCCAGCCCGGGCGGAAAAGGGTTGGGGACGAGACCCAGCCCCGAGGCTCCTGGGAGTTGTAGTTTCATGTTTCGATGAGATTTTCCGAATCCACCCACTTTTTAACTTTCTGGTCAGAAATCCCCAGCCTACGCTCAAATTAAGTCTGGATGTGAAATCTCAGAATCACAGAACTGTCGAATTTGAAATTGACTTTAAGAACAACGCTCTAAAATGTAAGATTCATTTTCTGTCTCGACACAGAGTATACCTAGAAGAGTAGGTACGGCGCGGCAATCAAGAAGTACTTGACTATCATGTTTAGCTCACATCCAGCCGCACAGCTTAGCGGTGGGTCACTTAGGCTTCTTTCTACACGCGCCCTTCCGGCTACCCAGAGAACCCATAGGCTTTGCCTCTCTGATCTGAAACAAGGAACGAATAGCACCATAACCTTGTCCCTGAATGAGCTTTAATGCTCAATGGTAGAAATAATCGTAATTATGCTTGTCCTGGGATCAAGCCCAGTATCAGGCTCCCTGCTCAGCCAGGAGCCTCCTCCTCCCTCTCCTACTCCCCCACTTCTGTTCCCTTTCTTGCTGTGTCTCTCTCTGTCAAATAAATAAATAAAATCTTTTTTTTTTTTTAATTATGTAGTTGTTTATGTGACTATTTATTTCATGTGAGGTTTCCCAGCTAGACTTCCTACCACACTTGGGCGGAGACGACCTCTATTTTGCTCCCAATGGCTTGTGGCTCATAGCAACCTTTTCAATAAATAGTTTTTGAACCAACGAGTAAACAAGTCCTCAGATTATAGGATCCAAAATAAAAGTTGATTCACATGCTCTAATAGGTTATTTCAGTTGATGAATTCATAGTAAAAGTTTGATGAAGGTGTCAAAATAAAATTGCTTTATGTTTATTCTGTGTTTTATGTTTAACAGATTTTCTTTGAGCAAATAAATACATGAAAAGTAACACAAAATTCAACAAATATGTATCAGTGAGATTATTCATTGAACCCAAGACAGTCTTGGAAAATCCAGGCTGCATATTTGGTGTGTATATATAAAGCAAGGAACACAAGGCTCAAATTCTGCAAAGTATTTCTCCAAAGTATGAACAAGTTTTTGTCCCAGCCTCCTGATACCCCACATCAACTGACTGACTGACTGACTGGATTAAACTGATGCTTTCACACAGAAGAAATGTTCAAAACTTTAAAGTATTACTGCTACGGGGCACCTAGGTGGCTCAGTGAGTTAAAGCCTCTGCCTTCAGCTCAGGTCATGGTCCCAGGGTCCTGGGATCAAGCCCCACATCGGGCTCTCTGCTCTGCGGGGAGCCTGCTTTCCCCTCTCTCTCTGCCTGCCTCTCTGCCTACTTGTGATCTCTATCTGTCAAATAAATAAATAAATAATCTTAAAGTATTACTGCTACAACCAAGTAGAATACCACACAATGCTATTTCTGGTTTACCTGTTTGGATGACATTTTTATACAAAGTCCTTAATGTCTGGAGAAATGCTGTCCAGTAGTTAAGAGCAGTAAACCTACTTTCAAATCCTAGCTCCATTACTTCTAACTGTGTGACCAACAACTTAACTTTGATTCCTTTTCCTCCTCTGTAAAATGAGGATGATAATAATTCTCAGAGCAGTATTGTGAAGATTGAAACGAGATAATCTCTGAAACGCTGCTTACCTGCACAGTGTCTGGCATGTATTGAAACTAGATATATAGTCAAGGTAATGTGATAAATGTTAAGAATGCTAAACTCCCTTCTCAGATAACATTTCTATCTCCATTGCTGCATGATAAGGACCATACTTTACACTTATAGTTACAGTTTAATCAGTTACGCTGGAAAGGAGAATGTTTCTTCTGAAAACCAACTATTCCGCTGTGACTTCTGATGAAAAGCAAGTATTGTTGCTGAGTACTGTAAAAGTACTCCCCAGCCAGCAAGACTGCCCTGTTTCTGCAAGGATGTCCTGGTCCCCCTGAAATCTCACTCCGTCGAGGTACTACTGCTGGCCAGCCTCATAATAAGCATGGCTGTCCAGCAGGTATTCATGAAAAGTTCAGAAAGTCATCTTGTTTCCAACAGTCTGGCTGAACAAAAGGTCACAGGATAGTGGCCCCAGCCCTCAAGGAGTTACAGACTCGGAGATAAAATGAATACACATAAGTCACATACAACGGAAGGCAGATTAGAATTACCAAGAACGAAATAGTAAAACAGAGAAAAGACTCCTAGGAATTCAGAAGTACGGAGAAGGGAAGAAGGCCAAGGCTCCAAAGGATGGTTTATGATCCCGGGCATGGATTCGAATCTACCCCCAAATGTCATTGCATATCAATCTATCTACCCCCAATGAACTTCAAACACCTTTTGCATTGTTTAATTACACAAATAACATATGAAGATGCTTCCCTTGCAAATAAATAAGTAAATAATACAGATAAAAGCTCCCTTGTCAACCATCCCTACATTCTAGTCCTTCCTCTAAGAAAATACCATTTTCAGTTTAATATGTGTCCTTTCAAGGGCGCCTGGGTGGCTCAGTGGGTTAAAGTCTCTGCCTTCAGCTTGGGTAGTGATCCCAGGGTCCTGGGTTCCAGCCCCACGTCAGGCTCTCTGCTCTGTGGGGAGCCTGCTTCCTCCTCTCTCTCTCTGCCTGCCTCTCTGCCTATTAGTGATCTCTGTCTGTCAAATAAATAAATAAAATCTTTGAAAAAAAAATATGTGTCCTTCCAGATCTTTCTCTATTATAGTACATTCCTTCAAAAAATATTTACTGAATGCTACTATGTGCTAGGCACTGTTCTAGGCCTGGAAATAGAGATGTGAACAATGCATTTGTTCAAGCAAAGAATTGAGGCATTTCTTTCCTTTTCTTATTTTCCCGTTAATCTTTTTTTTTTTTTTTTTTTTTTTTTTAAGAAATCTCAACACCCAACATGGGGCTTGAATTCATGACCCCAAGATTAAGAGACACATGCTCTACCAACTGAACCAGTCAGGCACCCTTTAATTTTTAGATACATGGTGAAATATTGTACATATTATCTTTGTAGGAGCATCTCAGAGATCTATGTCAGTTACACTTTTGAACTGCTATGTTTGCCATGTAATGCTCTGCCATCACCCTTTTGAACTGCTGTGTAGCATTCCACCTTATAGATGCTCCCCAGCTTACTTAAACCACCCCTCCAGACATAAATTCGGTTTACGTCAGTCTGGATTGCAAGCACTGGAAGCTGACTTCGCCTAACATAACAGAAACTGGATTTGTTGGAAGGGTACTGGGGTAAAGAGCTGGCAGGAAGGAAGGGGGCTGGGGAGCCAAAAACCCAGCCAAGGTCACGCCATTCAGTGCCACTTGACTCAGCACAGTGACCCCTCCACTGATTTCCTATCTACGCTTGGGCTCCGTATCACTCCAGGGAGAGGAAGAGTCATGGGTGAAAACATCTGATTGGCTGGACCACAGTCACCTGCCTCCACCCTTCTGCATGGAGGAGAGCCCTGTCTCCCACCAAAGTTCTCCCAGTGGGGAATTACCCACAAAAGGGGGGGGGAAATCATAGGACAAATGTGTGCTACACATTTCTTGCTTCCTGGGACACCTATTTATTGTGGGCTGGGGCAAAGTTTAACCGTTCATTCTCCTTCAGACACACCAGAGACTAACACTTACATTATTCCATATGCAAGGGGGAAAAAAGCTACCTGCAGCTTTGCTGTAGAATCCCCTTCAAGACTGGCCATAGGGTGAGTGGAAGAGGGAATTCAATGAGGTGAAGAGAAGAGCAACCCATTCTGTGCAGCTAAAAGCGACCCAGGTCAGGGCTGGAACCACAGGGGAAGAACCCCGGAGGTCATTTTCCCCAGCCAGGATAACAAGCTGGGAAACAGTCAGGTCACAGGCAAAAAAGGCTGGTGGAGAAAAACACTGGAAGCACACTCAGTCACAGAACGTTCGTGATTGGATTCACCATCAGTCAGGCACTGAGCTCAGCGTTGAGCACCGAGCCATGAATCCTACCTCTGAAAGCTCAGACTGGTGCTGGAGGGCACGGGGGCCAGGCTTCCTGGGCCTTGAGAGAGGCAAGAACACACTCTCTGAAAGCCTGAAAGTACAGGAAGTAGCCAGGCCTGGCGCAGGGTATGGATCCGAGGGAGGCTTGAGGGGGTCCTGAGTCTTGCAGGGTGAGTTGAAAGTCCTGAACACTGGCCAAATCATTTGGGGATTTTGGGGTTTTTTAAAAATTTTATTTATTTATTTGACAGAGAGCGAGATCACAAGTAGTCAGAGAAGCAGGCAGAGAGAGGGGGGAAGCAGGCTCCCCGCTGAGCAGAGAGCCCTATACGGGGCTCTATCTCAGGACCCTGAGATCACTACCCAAGCTGAAAGCAGAGGCTTAACCCACTGAGCCACCCAGGCGCCCCAGCACTGGCCAAATCATTTTGAATTGGAATGTTTCTGGCCCTTGAATCAAAAACACCCAGGCCTCAGGTCAGGAGGCCCCAGGTGCTGATGGTAAGTTTCAAAGCAGTAACATATATGTGACATTCAGGAATGGGCAGGTTCATTGTGAACTCACTGTGTGGGGTGTTATCTCCACAGTCATGTGAGCTGAGGCCTGGATGGATCCTTTTTTCTGCCACTATAGCCCATTCTCATGGAGATGGTTTTGATATGAAAAGAAGTTTTGCACATTAAGCCTATACAGTTATTAGGAGGCAGGGTGACAGTCAGAAAAGGCTCCAAGCCTTCCCCAACCTATTTCTTCTCTAGACAGGAGGCTTCAGAGTCAGCTTCCAAGATTCACCCATTCAAAATCAGGAAGTAAAGG